TTAGTGGATTTGATTTTAGGAAAATCCATGAATTGGGAGGATTCGGTCAGAAGCCGCTTGTCTGAAAGAGTATGGAATGGGCCAATGAATGCCAATGAATTGGCAGCGTAAGCTTGCGCAGGTGTGCTTCATTGCCAATTAACCCAGCATATAAGCACACGTGGAGCAAGCAGACGCCATCCTTTTTAAGCTGAAGAGACTTTGCTAACAGCTAAGGGACAGTCATTATGGCGATGGTAAATAGCATTTCCGTTCCCCGAGAAGGGGAGCAGACGGCGGGCGAGCTGAGACATGTGGCGAGAGCGCATACCCCCCATACCGTTGATATACGCTGCCGCCGCCATACTGTCCATCCTGACCAGCACGTGTTGCTGCTCCAGCACCGGAAAAAAGCGGTGGAGAGCTAGGAACACTGCCAACAGCTCTAGGCGATCGATATGCCAATGCAGCTGGGCACCCTTCCATAGGCCCACAGCTGCTTGCCCGCAACACACATCCCCCCAGCCTGTGTTGGAAGCATCTGTTGAAACAACAACATGACTGGACGCCTGTCCTAGAGGCACATCGGCCTGTAGGAACGAGGGTTCATTCCAAGGGCTGAGGGCGCGGCGACACAGCGCAGTGACCAAGACTCTGTGTGTGCCCGCATGCCATGCGCTTCTTGGGACTCGATCGCGAAGCCAGTGCTGAAGTGGTCTCATATGGAGTAATCCGAGCGGCGTGACGGCAGCTGCGGATGCCATATGCCCCAGGAGCCTCTGAAAGTATTTCAGTGGGACCACTATTTTGCTGTCGAGCTCTCTCAGACAGTTCAGCAACAGGCAAGCGCGCTCTCCGGAGAGGCGCACTACCATGGTGACCGAGTCCAGCTCCATCCCGAGAAAAGAGGTCCTCTGCACAGGGGCGAGTTTTCTCTTTTCTCGGTTGACCTGCAACCCCAACAGGCGGAGATGGCGGAGCACCTTGTCTCTGTGCATAATCAATTTCTCCCCGTGAGTGGGCTAATCAGCCAGTGGTCGAGATAATTGAGTATGCGGATGCCCACAAGCCGAAGGGGCGCCAAGGCACCCTCCGCAAGTTTGGTGAAGACCCGCGGAGACAGAGAGAGCCCGAAGGGGAGGACCTTGTATTGCCACGCTCGACCTTCGAACGCAAACCGCAAAAACTGTCGGTGGCGTGGAAGAGTGGAGACATGGAAATATGCGTCCTTCAGGTCTATGGCTGCAAAGCAATCCAGAGGACGAATGCATCGGAGGATGCGCCTCTGCGTGAGCATTCTGAACGGCAGCTTGTGCAGGCAACGGTTCAAAACGCGCAGATCTAGGATTGGCCGTGACCCACCGCTCTTTTTGGGTACGATGAAGTACGGGCTGTAAAACCCACTCTCCATCTCGGCTGGAGGGACCGGCTCGATTGCACCCTTTGCCAGGAGGGCAGCAATCTCCTCTCGCAAGACAGGGGTGGACAGGGATTTGACCCTGGTGAAATACACACCCGTGAACTTGGGAGGCCGTTTCGCGAACTGGATCACATAGCCGAGTCTGATTGTGCATATGAGCCACCGCGAGGGGCTGGCCCGCGCTAACCAGGCAGGCAGAGCCCTCGCTAATGGAGTCATCGCTACAATCGCTGACGTACCAGCGGTGGGGCAGCACGGAGTGGGTGTGCTGATCCGGGGAGCGCAAGGGTCCCGCGGACAAGCTGGAGGAAAGAGATTCGCTCTGGCTCCGCGCCCTAACTCCGGAGGGGGGGCTCGAAGGTTAAGGGAAAGGAGACCGCCCCCCAGCGCTCGTGAGCCACTGGCGAAGCACATAGAACCTGCGATCTGGAAGGCAGCGTGTCCCGGACTGGCAAGGTTCGTGCTGTCACATCCGGGGAAGGGGAAAAGTGCTCTTTCATTGATGTTTTCGTAGCACTGAAAAGTACCGTTGGAATAGGGGCCCGCCCTCCAGCAGGGAAAGAGCAAGTTTCCTCTTCTCCGGATGGCCTGTCTCAGGGACGATTCGCGGTCCGTTTACCGGACTTAACGGTGGCCTGGGCAGGGGGGGCTGCAAGCTTTCGACGTGCTCGACGCGCCCGCTTTGCCGGAGGCGCAGTCGGGGGCAGGGCAGCACTCTTCGGTGGGCGCCCTCAGCGAGGAGCAGCGGAGGTGGATGGCTCGGTGGGCGGAGCGGGCTTACGGTCCCGCTGATACATGACATTGCCCATCGCATCCGACTGCTCTCTCACCATCTTGAATTCCTGGGTGAACTCACCGACGGTGTCGCCGAACAGGCCAGCCTGGGATATGGGCGAGTCAAGAAAGCAAACTTTGTCGACATCGCGCATATCGGCCAGGTTTAGCCAGTGGTGGTGTTCCTGGAACTCTAATGTGGACATCGTCTTCCCCAGCACACACGCGGCGGTCCAAAGAGCATAGTCGGTCACGGTGCGCAGCTCGTGTAACAAGCCTGGGTTAGACCCGCCCTCGTGCAGCTCGACCAGCGCCTGCGATTGGTAGTGCTGGTAGGTGGCCATCGCGTGCAAGGCGGAAGTAGCCTGGCCCGCAGCCTTGTAAGCTCCGAGGGAGGCAGATAACCTACAGGCTTTGGAAGGGAGACGGGACGGACCCCGCCAAGTAGGGGTGCCACGCGGTCAATCTTTGATAGAGTGCTCCACTGACGGGATTGCCTCATACCCCCTGGCAGCTCCACCGTCAAGGGCGGTGAGGGCGAAGGGACACGCAGCGCGGGCAGAGAAAGGTGCCCTCCAAGACTGCGTGAGCCTACTGTGCAGAAGGGGACGAGAGGCTTAGAGGGCTTCACCTTCTGTTCCTCTTGTAGCGAGGCAGAGGGAAAACACAAGCACAGTTGAGTTACAAACAATGCCCCAGAGGGTGCTTTATTTACAAGTGAAATAGTGATTTAAATGGGTGCTCTTCTTGGGGTGCGTGCTCAAGTGCTCCGGGGAGGTGGTTAGGGCTGGTGAGAGTTCTGGTGTTGGATCGGTCACGAGCTGGATTCGGCTGTGGGAGAGACAAAGAGACACAAGCGTTAGCACAGGGAGTCATGTGGAAATGAAGCTCATCTTCTTCCTGTGTGGGGCTGGCTTTTATCTCTCCCTGGCTGATGAGGTCCAGCTGTGAGCGATCCGGTGCTGATGAGGTTCCAGCTGGGGTGAATTTGTGACCAGGGCGACGTGGCATCAGTAGACTCGCTACACTCTACATAACACCCATCTAGTTGGTCCGCCGCGGAGCTGGGGGATGAACCATCTCCAACCCCACGGCCGAAGCAGCCCGGGAAAGCACGGCAAACATGTCCGCTTCAGAATCCGTCTTGACGGCGCTCTTCTGCCCGGAGGGGGCGAGCGGGTCTGGATCTTTGTCGGACTGTGAAAGCCCACCCTCTGATGCCGTGGAGGACATCTGATCTCCGGTGTCAGCGAGCGTGAGAGCTACCATCTGATTAGACGGATCACTCCCAGTGCCCGAAGCTTGGATGGAGCGCTTGGAGGAGCGGGAGGTCCGCGAGCCCTTGGGCGCCGGATTATCTCCCGCTGAGACCCTCAGATCTGCCTGAGTGCCCGCTACAGAGCAGGATGCAACTGTGGTGGTTCGCTCTCTTACGAAAGCTAGCCGCGATCTTAGCTGCGCAACAGTCATGGCATCGCAGTGACGACATGAACCACCCGCGAGCACCACATTAACATGCTGGACCCCCAAACATGTAATGCAGTGATCGTGTCCATCATCCAGAGCCATGAAACCCCCGCATCCAGAAACGCACAGTCAGAGCGCCATCCTGAAAAGGTTGCTCTTTTAGGAAAAATGCAACTATACGCACCGCTCTGGAGGACCGGACCCAAAGAACGCCAGGCAAGGGAGAATCCCAGCTCGACCGTCTGCTGCCGCGTATACCCACTCTGGACCGGGAGACACTCGTTCGCTCGGAAGTCACTGTAGTCAGCAAGAGGAACCCTCATCGACTTTATCAGAAAAGTCTCTGAAGCGAAAAGGATGGATTCTGATTGCTCCACGTGTGCTTAAATGCTGGGTTAATTGGCAATTGAAGCAGACCTGCGCAAGCTTACGCTGCCAATTCATTGGCATTCATTGGCCCGTTCCATACTCTTTCAGACAAGTGGCTTCTGAACCGAATCCTCCCAATTCATGGATTTTCCTAAAATCAAATCCACTAATAGCATTGGAGTTCCCCAGTCGAAGGGGAACTGAACTGACATTGTTTAAATTTTCTATAATATTCTATGTGAAGCTGCGTTGACACAATCTACATTGTAAAGGCGCTATAGAAATAAAGGTGAATTGAATTGAATTAAATTTTGTCCAGCATCTGACATTGCGATATTTTGTTTTTCTGTGATATATGTTGCAATATACTTGTGTTTTACTTGGAAATACTTTTTAGTCACTTTATTTTAAGGTTCAGTTCTCACTCTTAGCAAACCATTTTTACTTTTGTTTCAATAAACTTCTAGTTTGCTCCTTATTAATAGCTAAGGGAATTTAGGTATTAGGTATGTGGCTGGTGTATTCTGGGAAATTTTTCTTACCACTTGATTTTAAATGTGGTCCTGAAAAATCTTTGTTTGAAGGGAGGTATACCCCTTGCCCTTAGCCCTACGCCTTCAAGCTAACAAGAATTGGGACACCATTACCCCTTCACGGGCACTTGCAAAACGAGGGGTAAGCGGAAGGGCTAAGAGGTAGAATTGGGATTGGGCCTAAATAAAGTTAGTCTTTGTTATATCTACAGACATCATAATTGTGCCCAAAATGGAAATATTCAAATTTAAAGTCATGAGTCTTAAAAACGCATGCAAATTATAAACTTACACTCTGTTATGGATAAGCTTTGCAATGACTCCACAAATTGCATGAGTTCTGATCTGTGCATCACATTATATCCATCATTTAACATGACAGGCACAACCCTCAAATGCACTTGCCTGCAGAGCAAATTCTGCACAGTTAATGCTTCCTCCCCTCTCGCCTCTGCCAGGTGTCAGTGGTCCATCTGCTAAAGACCGTCCGCCTGCTGAGACTCCTGCGTCTGCTGCAGAAGATGGACCGCTACTCCCAGCACAGTACGGTGGTGCTGACCCTGCTCATGTCCATGTTTGCTCTGTTGGCCCACTGGATGGCTTGCATCTGGTACATCATTGGCAAGAAGGAGGTGGAGAGTAACGCAGACACCTGGGATATTGGTGAGACCAGCACACAGAATTTGCTCATTTGATGCGTTTACATGTTTTGCTATGATGTTGGATATCAAAAGAAGTATGTCAGTAGATTTGTGTGCCAATACGTACTTGTAGCTGCCAAAATGTAAAAAAGTACCAAAATGATGTATACTGAAGCCAAAAATCTGAAGGTCATGAGGCTAGGGGAGATTTTTGAATGGTGATGACTGTAAAGATTTATGGTGATATTACTTTTATTTGATGGTCACAAAGTACACATTCAGATGCAGTACCGACTTTAATATGCAATTTTGAAAGCACTAGTTATCACACCTGCCAAGGGCAACTGTATATAACCTATTTGATAACATGTAATATTAAACTAAAAACAAAACGTTACATTTGATTGAAATTGTTATTAAAATTAGAATTTAATCAAACCAAAAATTAAATGTTAGCATTGAACTTTAAATTATTTAATGCTGATTTTAATTGTGTTTATTTATTAGCTTGTTTTTGAATGCTAAACCACAGAGCTTTATTTTTGCAGAATGCAGTGACATTTTTATTTGAAATGCTTATTTTATATTGAAATCATTTGTATTTTATTCAGTATAAATATCGTCCATTTCTAGCAGTGTTTGCCAATTAGTGTTAATACAGTAAAATCATAGCAATAATTGGGGATTTGTGTAAGGAAGCTATTTGTTGTGGAGAATGTTGAAGAGTTGTTTCATTACCTATTTTAAGTTGTGGTTTGTGTTGGAGAGATCTGTAGAAAAATGAAGCGCTTCTCATTGGATTTCACTGTGCTGCATTGTGGTGGTCATGTAAATAAATGGTAAAAACTCTGGTTTGCTCTAGCTTGAACAACTCTTTCACTTTTTTTGAACCGAGCTGCTAAATTGTCAGTGCGTTATGCATTTCAAAAATTAGCGCTGTTTTATTCAACTTTAGGTATGGAACTTATTGGCATCAGAATTTATTGTTTATTGGTTCAACAAATCGGTTATGTTGGCAAATTTTAGTTGCAAGGGCAAAAAAAAAGGGGTTGTGAAAAGCAGTTTAAACTCGCATCCAATATCTAATTTGTCACGGGGGAATGCATGAAGTGTTCCTGAATGAAAGTAAAAGTGCCAAACTGCAGTTAAAGTAAAAAAAAACTAAACAATGAAACACCTGAAATTTCATGAAACTCCGAAGGAAACATGGATAGTGCGGTGACCCAATGACAATAATTGAACTATGTAACATGTAAAACGCCATCATGATAGGAACATAAAAAAATTAATTCTGTTTCAAAAAGTAATTTCTGTTTGTTTTAAGCCACAGGCTACAACACTAAGATAGTACTGTTTGACTTTCATAGTAGGAAGAAAATACGATGGAGGTAATAGGGTCATCTGGTAATCAACATTTTTTTAAAAACCTCATAACTGTCATCTTTTGTTTCATTTTTTTTATTCATATTGGAAAGCTATACAGTATATCACATGCATACAGTAGACATCAGAATTTTTAACCCCACTTCGATTTGTCACTCTAAGGTGTATAGAAGTGTTTTGAAAAATATCTTGTCAAATATTATTTACTGTCATCATGGCAAAGATAAAATAAATCAATTATTAAAACTATTATGTTTAGAAATGTGTTAAAAAAACGTCTCTGTTAATCAGAAATTGGGGAAAAAACGGTTAATAACTCAGTCTTTAACTATAGTATAAAATTTTCAAATCTGAGCTAACAAAATGGTGGCGACACAGTGGCTCAGTGGTTATTGTCGCCTCACAGCAAGAAGGTCACTAGTTTGAGTCCCGACTGGGTCAATTGGCATTTCTGTGTGGAGTTTGCATGTTCTCCCCAGCTTGGTGTGGGTTTCCTCCCGATGCCCTAGTTTCCCCCATAGTCCAAGGACATGCAGTACAGGTTAATTGGGTAAAAAAATTGGCTGTAGTGTCTGAGTGTATGTGAATGGGTGTTTTCCAGTACTGGATTGCGGCTGGAAGGGCATCCGCTGCGTAAAATGTATGCTGGAATAGTTGGTTGTTCATTCCACTGTGGCGACCCCTGATAAATAAGGGACCAAGATGAAGGGGAAAAAATTAATGAACTAACAAAGTAGGGTTACATTTAAAGAGTTAATTATGTCTGACATATAGTGCAACAGTGCTGCAGACATCCTAAGTTTGAGTCTTGACTGAACTTTCCCAATTCCACTCCCTTTTCCAACTTCTCTTCCTGTTATCATATTGATCTGTCAAAATAAAAGCAAAAATGTAAAAAATAAAATAAAATCTCAAAAAGTGGAGGGGTTTGGGGGAACTGTTCCTGAAACAAAACAATAAGTCAAAGGGTCCAAAACAGAATTGATTACTACTGACTATATGTTATCTAATCAATTTGGAATGACATGAGCGTGAGTAAATGATTGCAGATTTTTTCACTTAGAGTACTATTTTTTGGAATTAATTAACTGCACACTTAGGCAGCATTGTGTTTATTGATTTAATGCAAGTCTGGGTCCCTCGACTGTACTCAAATGGTGATTTGCTCCCATTGATTTCAAATGAAACACTTCATTTCAGCTTGGAATGAATTTGTTAAAGTTGCATTATTCATGTAATATGAATGGATTTAATCTGATACGTTTGGAGCCAGACAGTGAGTGAGAGAGAGAAAGCAATGATGAAGACCTCAAACGATAATGGAAAGCAGAATTTATAGTTACAGAAAGAAGCGCGATAAGCTTGACACTGTTAGATGGTGTTATGGACAGTGATAGTAGAGGAGGAAAATGGGAAGAAAGCACCAGGGACAACAAGCAGCCAAGTGAGTGAAATAGTGAGCGAATTTGAAACAAACCAGTCACCCAGACGTGGTGCCGCAGGCCGCTCTCTCCATCTTGACTGCAGGAGGGGCTGTAATTAGGCCCAGTGTGCTGCTCTATGGTCCGTAATGACGGATCGCTGTGAAAGTACCAGCATTCCCAGCGCCCCGTCCCCGATCAGTATTGATGGGAAGCTGCTGCTTCCTCCCGGCATCCGACCACTGACCCCAGGCCTGCTCTGATGGGCAGTTACTATAGCAACACGGGGCTGGAATCTCCTCTCTGATACCCTGATTTAGATTGTGTGCAGTGTGGAAACTGATGGGTCGCTTCTTATCAGGGAACACAAGGATTGTTTGGTGAAAAAAAGCAAGGTGTTTGATGAACCGCCTAACAACTGCTGTTAGGAAATAACTTTTTGGGGGTCACAAGATGTTCCTTCTGCTTTTTATGAACCAATTCACATACTCTCAAGTCCTTGCTTTCAGAAAAGTGTATGTCGAAAATACTGTGGTGCTGAATGAATGGTTTGTTTGGCTGTTTACATTTTGCATTTTGTTAGAGCAGAATAGAGGGAAATGATTGTGTTTTTGAACAAAAAATGTGTTTTTGAAACCATATTGGACATTTATTTTTAATGTAGAACAAATTCTGTCTTCATTTACTTATATTCAAACTTAGTTTTCTTATGTTAAACATAAAAAGAGATGATAACTTTTTTTGTGCGCTAATGATTTTAGTCATTTTAAAATGTGAACTGATCAATTGAAAAATTGTTGTTAGATAAAAAAAAATTGTACGGGACTAAATACTACTTTTTTTTTCTCTTTTACAATTACAACAATCTTTAAAAAAAAAAAAAAACATTGTGAATATGTACTCCTGTATACATTTCTGGAGAGAATGTGTGGCTGCATTTTGTTTTTAAAACGAACGCTGCGGGTCGGTATGATGGCGCCAACAGCTTCTGTTTCTTTTCGCGCCACTAACTGACCGCTTACCTTCATGTGGACGGCTTTTCTGCTGTTACCAGTTTGCTCAGTAGCTCATCCTGTATGTCGGCGGACTTGAGACGAAAAGACGAGTTGACAGCAAGAATGGGGTTAGAGTCTGAAAAAGAATGGTTCCAGAAAGCAGGTAAAAAAAAAAAAAAAAGTAAATAACAGAGTGAGAATGTGGTAAGATCTGAAAATGTGATAAAAAACAGGCAGCTGTGAGGGCTTTTTCTTTTTCTTGATTACTTTTGAAAACAATGTCGGTTGGGTTTAGGAAAGGGGTTTATCGGGTCAATCTGTGCTTTTGAAAACACTATCGGTAGAGTTTGGGGAAGGGGGTGTGGAAGACAAAGTTATATCTGGAGAAAGAAGTGTTCAATCAAGTCCTGGACTTTCTTACTCAAAACAATCTCATGGACAACAAGCAATCCGGCAATAAGAAAGGCCACTCAACTGAGACTGCCCTGCTCTCGGTCGTGGAGGATCTCAGACTGGCTAAAGCAGACTCTAAATCATCAGTCCTCATTTTGCTTTGTTTATAAGTCATATTGGGGTAATATAAAGACAATGAGGTTAAATGTGCGGGCTGTGTGTGTGTCCGCTGTGTGTGCTTGTGTGAACTTTGTTACAACATTGCGTGTGACTCATCATTGTAAAAAAGCTTGAATTAACTCTACAGCAAATACATCAAATAATCATTAGGAAAGTTCTTACTGTAGTATTTCTTGCAAACGTTATGTGAGACCTGCTTCCTTTTTGTCTGTCACTGTGCTGTTTATCTGACGCGGCCGAGGCGGAGATTGAGACACACTCTGACAGAAGAGCTAGCATTAAAGGCACAGGCAACAAAAACAGCTTGAAACAGAAAATTCCAATGTTCTAAAAGGTATAAAAAATAATCTAATGGTTATTCTTAGCTGAAACTTTACAGACACATTCTGGAGACACAAGACTTCCCTACATTTTGAAAAAGGGGTAAAATAGGTGCTCTTTATGACATGCTACGTGGTATCTGGGATGAGAAGAGCTTCTTGAGCTAAAGATTAAAATGATAAGAAACGTCAACTCTATTATTGCCAACTCTATTATTGTCAACTCTGTTACTGTCAACTCTGTTAGTGGATTACAAGTTGAACAATAACTTAAGCAACAATTAGTAACAGAAGCATATTTAAACACTTTGCATTTATAATGGCTTCAGTATATTGTAAATGTCACATTTGTTGTAAATCATTCAAGAATTGCGGGTACATTTCAAGAATTTGTCATTTTCCTTAAACTTGAATGAGTCATGAACACTACAAAAAAAGAGAGAAAACTATTCTGGTGTTCCACGAAATAAATAAATTGATACGGGTGAAGTAAACAATGACAGAAATGTACATTTTAGCTGAAGAATTCGTTTAAGCGTAGTGTCATCGCAGTGCTAATTTTCCACCATATGGGCACCGAAACAGATACATAAACAGTGTTTAATGAATTGTCTGCCTGTCTCAGGTTGGCTGCATGAGCTGGGCAAGCGTTTGGAGTCTCCATACGAGGGGGTGGCCAACAGAACGCTGAGCAGCGGACCATCTTTACGGAGCATCTACATCGCAGCGCTGTACTTCACCCTCAGCAGCCTGACCAGCGTGGGCTTCGGAAATGTCTCTGCCAACACAGACGCAGAGAAGATCTTCTCCATCTGCACCATGCTCATCGGAGGTGTGTGTGTGCGTGTCTATGTGTTTGCTGAAAGGGTGAAGTTTAACAGATATTTTTAGGTGTATTTGGAGGTTGAGCAAATTTGGAGTATAATTGGGATCCAGAAAATGGAGGGTGTGTGTGTGTGTGTCTGTGGCTTCTTCAGGGACTAAAAATAAGGTTGAATGCCTGTTTCTTTGTGCAAGACAAAAAAAAATTGGTTGTAGCTAAAAAGTGTGCATGTGTGCTTGTGTGTGCTTGAGCTTGTGTGTGTGTGTGTGTGTGTGTGTGTGTGTGTGTGTGTGTGTGTGTGTGTGTGTGTGTGTGTGTTTGTGTGTGTGAGTGACGTGTTTGTTTGTGTGTGGAGGGGGTGTATAAAGTGTTACTAAAACCACAGCACAAATAAATTCAATATTAAGTCAAATGCATATTATACATTACCATCATAAATATTGTCAGTTGACTTTCTTCATTTTTCTATGTCCATACTTTTATTTGACTAATTAAATTAATATATAGGGCAATAATTATTAATTAATTATACAATTTATATGATAAAAAATATTTAAATCAGGCTTAGTTTTATGTTTTTTTTAAATGTTTAATTTTGTGTTTAATATAATAAAAAATATTGCCGTCTTTTCAAATAAAATGTCATTTTATTTCATTATATTTAATTTTAGAATATTTATAAAATCAAACACAACTTACGACATTAGCATCTATAGAACCACATGTGTTATGTATGTACTTCTGTCATTAAATAAGATGATATGAGGTCACAACAGCTGTTCGCATTCAAAATTCATGGCCTTTATTCTGTGAAATGTCACCCTTAGCCATGGGGCAGTTCTGCTCCCTTTCCAAACATCCAATAATACCCAATTACACACCCTAACACATATGTACACATTCAGTCACCACCTGTGAACTAACAGAGATCTTAGACCAGGCAAGACACACTGTAAACCTTTTAATATGTAGGTTTAATTGTTACAGAAAAAAAAAAAGATTTAATTTAATTTAATTAAATTTTTTAACAATTAGGTACAATTAGATTAGCATGAAAAAAATATTTTAAAAAATGGCATGATCAAACATTTTATTTTAAATCAAGCTTAATTACCTAATTGCTTTAATTTTTTTTGTTTTATTTTAAATATGCATAAAACATTACATTCGAAAGCTGAAAAATAGCTTTAAATTAAGCTTGTTTTATTATGATTATTATTGTTGTTTATTGTTATTACTTTTAATCCTAACAATGAACATGAATTAGTGCTGGACAAATATTAATTGTGATTAATCACATCCAAAATAAAAGTTTGCTTTGACAAAATATATGTGTGGAGTGTGTACTAAGTATATTTATTATGAATATTCAAATCACACATGCATGAATAAATTTGCGAACATTTATATTTATATTCAGACATAAAATATAAATATCTATGTAACAAAATGTATGTAGTTTTCTATGTAGTTTTGCTTTTATGCATGTGTCTCATAAAATTTTATACAGTAATTCGCACACACATATATCATGTCAAAACCATATTTATTTTTTGCAATTAATCTTTGCCCAGCACTAATATTAACATATATCTTTATGCAGTTTACTTGATTTTATAAATTTTTGGGGTTGTCATAAACTTTCAAGCAAACCACCACAAATATTTGGATCACTGAAATCTTAACATCTATGTCTGTGTGTGTCATTGTGTGTTATTAGCGTTGATGCACGCTCTGGTCTTCGGTAATGTGACAGCCATCATTCAGCGCATGTACTCCCGTTGGTCCTCTTACCACACGCGCACTAAAGACCTGAAGGACTTCATCCGTGTACACCACCTGCCTCAGAGCCTCAAACAGCGCATGTTGGAGTACTTTCAGACCACCTGGTCTGTCAACAACGGCATTGACTCCAATGAGGTAAAGCCACGCTTCACGGAGGATTTTACACAACACAGCTCACTCATTCCTTACAGCTGGACTCATTTACAACACACTGTACGGTCTGCCTCACTTCTGCACTCATACTGTAACCAAAGTAAATCCTGAGAAGCTCTGGTTACTCAAAACATTTGTAAAAACCAATTGCCTCAAATATTTGAGTAATGTAACTTAATAGCACAATAGCACAAGAATAGATTGTAAGTGGGACAGGTGTCTTTTATTAGCACCTCATGCACCCATTTATTTATGGTTGTGATTTGCATTATGTTGATTTGTGCTCTGTCCACTTTTGATGTTGAAAATTAGACTCTGCAGAGTAACAAAGGGACTTTTGTTGGCGTTTAAGAAGTTTAAAATAATATAATGTATAAGAATTAATATGTATGTGCAACGTCAGACGAGTAGTAGTGCGATATGACTGTATATCGGCAGTGGTGGGAGGCATGCATTGCCTTACTGGCTTAGTGTCCCACCAGTGACGATATAAAGCCATATCGCACTGTTATGAGTGTAATATTGTATTTATAATACAGTTCAGCAGCATAATCACGTGTATAAAAAAAGAAAGTCAAATACAGAGAGTCTAAAAATCCTGCTGTATGAGGAACTACTTTATTTCGCCATTCTTTCACATCTGCAGCTGACGTCAGAACAGCAGAAAACGTTACTAATTCACCAATGTCACTTTAGAGCTAGTATTTTAAACGATTCTCTAGTGTTATGTCTTAAGTGATGACAAACTGGTGATTTTGCTCACAATTTAAGATTACAAGACTGAAAAGTATGACATTTCCCAGTATTTCTCAGTTGCAATCGGGAGATCACAATAATTAACCTCAAAAAAGCCAAAGCAAAGCAAACTCTAGCAGATACACTAATAGAAACCCTATCAGACTATAGTATAAATACAGCACTACAACATACAAAAGAGAGATATCGACTTAGAAAGTGTAATATTTTGCTGCGTTTATTCTCCACTAATAAACAATGTCGCAAATTATAATAATGTAGATTAAAATGCACTCATATCTACATTCATAATCTGTAACAAATTATAATGTAGATTAAAGTGCTCGCATATCTACATCATTATTACTGTAACAAATTAGCTCAAGGTTATTATTGCCGCACCTTTTCCACCGTTATAATGTAGCGAGTTATGATTTAGATTACAGTGCTCGCACCATCTTCTGCACCATTATATATATAACAGATTAGTTTAGCGGGAGGAAGATTCATTTGAACTGGGCTTCAAATGAATCGACTCTTTAGATCCGGACAAACGAATCGTCCAGCGACCATTCGAGTGGACAGTCGAGTTTTTTATGGCTATTGCTTTTAAAATAAAAACCCATTAAGTTTGAGCAGGGTAACAAGATCGAAGTTTAAGACATTAGATTCATAAATATACACAGGCACCTTTCTTTATACAAAATTAAACTTTATTGACTAATCTAACAGAAACTAACACCTAACACAAACACACATTCATACAAGTGTAGAGAAGAGTAAAGAAGGTAAAGTAAGAGGTTGAGAAAATGTAATGATGGGAAAACCTCGGAGTTTGTTAGAGCAAACCATGCGAACCAAACATAAACAAATTCACCCTTCTACTGTCTCTTTAGGTTTGCATTTAGTTCATACCAGTTCAGACGTAGACAAAAGTGGATGCTTGTGTCTGTCTGTGTGATGTGTAGAAGCTCCCTTGGTTGAGCACATGGTTCTGCTGGTTGTTCCTTGTTCTCACAAGGGTTGGAGTGGGGTGAGTCGGTGTTTGAAGTTGAAGCGGCAAAAGGGGCCAGTTGTGCAGACCACTGGTTTGCGACGCACTAACTTAACTAGACTCTCGATGGAAAATAAAGAAAGAAAGGATCTTAGATGTGAAGGTCCGAGCTGTGCGATTAACCCTTTCCATCTGGGTCTCCGACTGCTTTCTTGGAGGTTTCACTGCTTAGGTCTCGTTCTTAGGTCGTTGCAGAGCAGAGCAGTTTCAGAGCGCATGGTTCAAGAGTTGCGGTTAAAAGAGCATTGTTCCTGAGAGAGGTAAAAAGAGACTGAGGGCATTGCTTTAAACAAGCTTTATAGGGCGGGTTCGGCTCCACCCTCCATGAAAAGTTGACCGATTAGAAACTAACTTCTCTGCATTATGGTTTATGGCTCTTTGTCCGAGGCAAAGGAATTTGCATAGGCAAATTAAGGCAGAAATGTTCAAGTCTCTTAAAATGTTAATATGTTGCACTCGTATTAAGATAAAATGTCAACGATCAATTAGTACAGCAAGTAAGCTTTAAGACAAGTTTAAACATGAACAGTTTAAGAGCTTGTTTAGCTTCGGTACAGTTAAACATTGCATACAGAAGTATTAAAAACAATAATATTAATACAGGAGCAAGGGAAACGTTGCAAAACACATGATTACACATAAAGAGAGAGTAAAGTTTACATTAAAACTTCAAATTTAAGCAAGGAGCTTAAAGAAGTCCTGAACTGTTCTTTGTTCAGTGGTACTTGGCACATTCCTTTGGGTCATAAATATCTTGGAATCAGGTTTTGAGTCTTCCTTGGGCAAAAGTTGGCTCATTTGTTGAATAAAAAGCAAAATAATTTTGTGTCTGGTCGGCCATATTTGTTACAGAAGTCACTTACTGTTTTATAATGATTTGATCAACTGCAGTTTTTCTCCTCTAGGGGCTAATTATGTGAACTTCAACCGTCTTTGTTCTGCTCAGTATGACAGGCTGATGGATGCTTACACACTGTATCTCAGAAATTATTTATAATAGACACTGTCTTTATAAATGAACTGCACAGTTGCAATCTTAACAACTACATTCTCGCCTAAAAAAATGCAGTAAATAAGCAAGTACATTATGTTGTCCAACAGCAGCAATATTTGTCAAACTGTAGTGAGTTTATTGATCTGCTGTCACTCTATGTGGGCAGAGTAATACAGAAGGGTGAGAAGGCTGTAGGAGTTCTGTTATTATAGGATATCCCACGGCTATCAGCCAATCAGATTCAAGAACCAGACAGAACTGTTATATAAAGAGAAAGAAGTCTGCCAAAGAACAGAAAAATGTATGCAGTGTATTACAAGGTTTTTGAATAGTAATATTCAGAACCAACCCAGACAATAAATCACTATAAACTATAAAAAAAAAAATTATAAAAGTCCCTTTTTTAACTTTTTAAGGTGTTGGAAGAAAGATTAAGGTCTCATAATGCAACTCAAAGCATAAATAAATGGGGAAAAATAAAGAATTAAACATAAATCACAAAATTTGACTGACCATAAACCCCCCCATGTTCCTTCATGTTGTCCCAACACAAAAGTTGATTAAGTTAGCTTAATTGTTTTTACAAATTTAAGTGGATTAAAGATAAAAAAATTAAGTTGTTCAAAAAAAAAATTATTAAGAAATGCGTTGAATAAGTATTAATGGGGAATAACCATTAAAGGTGAAATAACGTGAAATAAGGTGAATTAATAGTTTGAACAAGCATGATTAAATAGAGCACCCCTATAACGGTTCATACCATTGTGGCTGCGCTCACAGTTTGTGCGGGAAAACATTCAGTCAGCTGTCTGAAACAGATTTAGATCACTAATAGACTGTAAGTCTTTACAAAACACTTTTTTTGTAAAAAAAAAAAAAAAGTGTGTACATCTATATCACTGTAACATGGGGGGTGACAGAGACAACCGAGATCGGATCCACATCCAGGTTTATTCGGCAGTCAGGCAAGCAATAATCAACACGGGTGCAAACAGATGCATAAAGACAATCCAGAATCGTGGTCAAAGTATCAGTCAGGGGGTTGAAAGGCAAGCGGCAGACAGGGATAGGTAACAAGACTAGGGTAAAGCAGACAGAAAAACAAGACCATGGAAACATGTTGAAATGTCACTTACAGTAAACAAGACTCTGCAATGGGAATGAGTGAGTGTGCTGCTTAAATAGTGTGTGTAATCCGTCTCTGACAATTCTCCGGTGTTGCGGGTGTAATCACTCAAAATAAGGAAGCATGTGTGTGTGTGAGCGAAGTGTTTGAAAATGAAAGTTAAAAATGAAAGTATGAAAATGTAGTTCAAAAGTTATTGTGAGTGAGATTCAGCGATCTTAGGAGTTACGATCGCTGGTGATCGTGACAATCACCTGACAAAAATCTCGTCATCGATCCCAGTTGTAAGTAAAATAAATAATAACTTGACTTCTAGTTGATCAATGGGAAAAGTGGCAGAAGGTCGATTTTTTTTTTTCAATGAATCATCTGTTGAACTGCATGACACTCATTTCAAATACTGCAGAACACCTATTGGAACCCACATAGACCCAAGATTCTCAGGGAAATCAGTCAAGTTTGGTGAAAGAAAAATCATGATTTGGGGTTATGTTTAGTATGGGGGCATGTCAGAGATCTGCAGAGTGGCAGGTAACATCAACCGCCTAAGGTATCAAAACATTTGTGCCGCCCATGACATTACAAACCACAGAAGAGGGCAAATTCTTTAGCAGGCTAGTGCTTCTTGTCATGCTTCAGCATCCACATCAAAGTTCCTGAAAGCAAAGAAGGTTGAGGTGCTCTAGGATTGGCCATCCCAGTCACCAGACAAGAACAATTATGAGCATGTCTGGGGTAAAATGGACGACGCATTAAAGATAATGGCAAACAATTTTGATGAAAGTGCAAGAACACTAACTTTGCCATTCCAGATTAGGCAAGACAAGGCAAGGCAAGTTTATTTATATAGCACATTTCATACACAGTGGCAATTCAAAGTGCTTTACATAAACAGGAATAAAAAAGACAAGTTTAGGAACATAAAATGCAGACAATAAAAAGTATTAAAAACAGATAAAAACAAATTAAAATGAGTTAAAATAGGTTATAAAAGAATGAAAAAGAAAAAGAAAAACATAATAGTGCAATCTGTCGGACGCAGCACAGTGCTCATACAGTAAAGGCACAGCTAA